TGGATGATGTTTACTTCGAAATTAACTACAGAAATAAACTGACATATACGAAGGTTAAAATAACGAAACATTTAACTCTCGAGGGATTGGGTTATCATTGCTCCTGATATCTATATACACTAAGAAAAAAGTTTATTAAATTTTAATAAATATTTCTTTGAATAGTCCTAGCGGAATATTTACTTACGGTAAATAAATATTTAGAATGAAAAAAATAGTTGAATAAATTTGATGGTACTTGTATCTAATAAAAATGTGTTTACATTTAGTAAATATTCCGTTAGGACTATTCAAAAAATATTTATTAAAATTTAATAAATTTTTTTCTTAATGTACAACCAAGCATGTACGACACCTTATCTAATTGCACCATGATGACAACCCTAACTATATTTAACAGGTTTAATAAGATTAGTAGTTAACGAAACTGGTCAATCACAGTCATTCCATTCTTGAGAGGAATAGCTATGATTAGTTAATTTCATAACTACGGATATCACTAAACCTGCCGTATATTAATGTAGTCCATGAGAACGACAAGATTTCTCGACGTCAAAGATGAGAACCCACCGAGAGTCGCGTGTTGAGGAATCACGGTGGAAAAAGAGAAGATTTTTAACGCGGAGCGGAGAATCCGCGCGTAGCTAACGGGACTGCTTGTACGTTGCGTGTACGTAACGCACAGCAAGAGTGTATCTGTTTGCGGATTAGCGACGCAAAACCGGTGCCGATGCGTCAGCTTTTGACGAGAACGCACAACCGTGGAAAGGGAAAATTAATCGCATTCCTTTTTACCTTCCCAGCTGTCGTTCTCACATGTTCATTGAAGAGCCTTTTCACGATAGATACACCAGACGGACGGCCGAAAGCGGCGTGATTGCGCACGCGGTTGTGGCGTTTTTCGTATAGCACGACGTGTCGTTCACGCGGATTCTGTTGCGCCGTAATTGCGTGTAGCATTCGCCGCTTTTTTAATCGAATCAAGCAGACCGTCTCGTAACTCGCTCAACCGGTGTCCCCGGAATTCGTGATGCGTGCCTTTTTAAACCCGTGGACAGATCGGAACGCGCGAATCTTTTATGTGCGGAAATTCCATTCGAGTCACGGATCGGTACGAATTGATTTCTCACAAACACGAACGTTTGCATTGATGTGATTTTTTGTTTGTTGTATTTGTATTTTCGCAAATACGTGCGCTTTTCAGATTCGCACGGAGCGATACTCCCTAAAACGGCGTCTTAATAAGGTTTTAAGGCGTAACATTTAAGCTTTAAACTTTAAGCCGTAAGAAATTTGTCAAATTATAGTTGAATTTGAGAAAAGTAATCAACTATGATCGGTCAATTTTTTACGAATTAAGGCTTAAGCTTGAGTTTTACGCCTTAAAATTTCATTGTAAGCATTGCTTAATAGATTTTTCACAATAAGTCACCTAAGTCTTAAGCCGTAAAAAATTGATTAATCATAGTCGAATGTGAGAAGAATAATTGATTATGATTAGTTAATTTCTTATTGCTTTCTTCAAGACTTAAAAGGCTCATTGTAGTAAGTCCATAAAACTTTTAGAATGAATTTAACTTTGAAGAATCATTCTTACACTCTTAAGCCATAGTCAGTCAATTCTATGTTTAAGACTGGCTTAAGTAGTTTTAGAGGGATATTCATAGTCCGTTCTTCTTTTAAGATCCATTCTTATCTGAAATAATGTCTTAAGATGCTAATGTGGTTCTTTTATCATTGATTCATAACATCTTAAGATACTTAAGACAATTTTAAATATAAGACTTAGGAATGAAGAACTCTGATTCGTTCATCTTCTTACGCATTATGTGTTACGTAAGACTCTGTGTTGCCACCCTTATTCTGAAGAGTGAAAATTGAGCCAATTCAAGAATAGTTCAATTTTCACTCTTCAGAATAAGAGGGCGGTAGTTTTACATAACGCATAACACTTAATGCATATAAAGAAAATCAGAGTCTTTCATTTCCTTCTTTTCCATGGCATGAAAGAATTGTAGACTTTTCTTACGCTTTATGCATTATGCGTTATGCAAAAATCTACACTCCGACCTTTAGGCTCCATTCAAAAGAATCAAGAGAGTACGTGAAGGAGGAAAATACGTGAGACTGACAAAAAAAGAAAACAGAAACCGGACTCGGGCAATTGTGCGAGTCGCCCTGGAAGGGTTATCAGCCGCCTCGTATCTTTCTGACAATTGGAGCGATGCCATCACGACAATAATGCACCGACAATGACGGCTTCCGCGGAACCGTGAATAACCGTGGAGCGGAAACGTTTTGTCAGTGGCGAACCCTCGATTGGCCACTGCGCAAAATCATTCGCGAAAGGATACTCATAAATGCGTATAATCGTCTCTCTTGTCAGTTTTAATATGCCGTATGTGGTCCCGATACGAAGCGTGGAAAATTAATTGGAATGTGAATGATGCCGGTAGGAAATGCAAGTCTGAAATTAAAATCAACTGCGGAATAAATTATTTAAATAATTCTAGTCATCATTCTTGCGAGGATAATAAAATAATATTAGATTGCTCTAAGAGGGTACTACCCAGTCAACTTCCTACATCGCGTCGATATTCCCTTTTTCCGGCTACCACTTGACACCGTTAAAATATCAAGCTATTTCAATTACCACTCCTACATAGTTAGTCCTCGTTCTGTTCGGAAAACCGTCATTAAATCCTCTATCCATTACGATATCATGCGCATTACTATGGCATCACAGACAGCATTGCGGTAGGTCACGCACGTTTCCACCGCAAAATTCCAAAGCCCCAATATATTACTTCATACGTAATGTATACATACGAAGTAATATTAGATTTTAGAATTTTCATATGATATACATTACATATGAAATTGTATCAATCGCGTTTCCACGTTCGCTATTGATTAATGAAAAGTCAGACCGACGACATATCGGACTTCGTTTTCTCCAAATTTAGAATTCAATCGTTAGAAGAGCCGCGGTTTTTGTTCCTCAAAGCGATCGCGAGGAGGATTGCTTGTCGAGAAAAAAAATGAAGCTTTCGTGGCATTGTCAAGTCCTTCTATTTCGAATTCAGTTTCTCTCTTTTGTGTGCAATTCTATTAATAAATATTTAAAGCCACTTCACCTTTCTAAACTTTGATAGACGCCCGCGGCTTCTTCCGAGAGAATAGATTATTTCTCTGTTTTTCCTGGGTGACTTTCCAACGGCGGAAACCGGACGGTGTGAAACGTGCGTATTATCGTGTAAACGGATATGCCACGGAACCGTTACGGTTACTTGAAGCCGATATGCTCAGTGCTCGAGAAACTAGCCGGTTTCGAGTCGACACGAGCTCCTGTAGAATCACCGTCGCCGTTGGTTACGTGATGAGGAGACCGCTTGGAATTAACACCGCGCGGCCGTTATATCGATTACGGATTGAGCGAGCAATTATGCAACTTGTCATTGCCTTTGTAAACACACGCCAGTCAACGGCTCATTCACCGCTGCCTTCGACTTCCGTTACCACCGTTCATGCACGAATCCCGAATGAAACGTTCGCAACTCACGGTACTTCGCAGCTCTTTTATCGTTGCTAAAATAATTAGTTCTAACGGAAGGTTTATTTTTTATTCCTGCATTTTTTTTCTTGGCTTTCGCCAAATATCAAACATATACCTATGTCATTTTAGGTTCCAAAAATGTTTACTAGTTCAGCTACAGAAAATAGGCTTAGAGACGATCATCGAGATGTTGCTTTTGAGTGGTTTTCAGCGAAAGACAGGTGACAGTATGAACTATTATATTCTTGTTATTTGTCTATGTTAAATAAAGATGAAATCATCAATGTGTTACACCTGTCTCTTACTGGAAAGCACATTTAATGGAAACTCTAACACTAAGTCGTTTACACTTTTTGATATTACCAAGACTCAGAAGTCGTCAATAATCGTTTTAAATTGTAAGAAATTGACCAATCCTAATCGAGTTATGTTTGATTGTGATTGATCAGTTTTCTTAAAGATTTAAGACTCCACGACTTCTGTGTAGACGAGCCATTATATTTTTACAAGACATTATCGATCTCCAAAGAAAGATTCGGGGATTCTCTTTTTTTTTCTGAGCGTTTAGTTCGCGGATTTTTCTTTTCGCTCGTTACCGGACCAACTGATGCGAAAATACAGAGGCAAGAATAAAACTGAGTTGAGATCCAGTTATACCGGGGGAGAGGGGGCTCGTGTTGAAGACACGCTCGGCATAGTAAGCGGAAACGTAATCACAAAGCCCAGAGGGGCGGCCAGCTTCTCGCCGAGAGTAGAGTTAGGTAGAGCGAAGCTATGCGTGCGCTTCGTGTCTGTGTCGGTTTTTTTTTTCTTCCTTTTTGTTGCCGATCGTGATGCGATTAGATAGGAGGGAAGCGTGCCCCTTCGTTGCGTGTTAATCGCCGGAAAATCGCGCGCATTTTTTGCATAGCACAGCCGCGCCGTTGACCCCAGACAGAAAAATGGGAAAGCCAGCACAGAAAGGGACCAACGCTTAAATCCTTTTCGTGTAACGAGAGTATAGCGGCGAAAGTGGTTATTTAAAGCGATCGGGGTTGGCGAATTATTCTGGAAATCACCACAAAATTTTTTGGATAAAGTAAATTGATTAATTCTATTCGAATGCTGTATGGACGAGAACGAAATCTTTAATATTGCTTTATTCATTGAAATCAGATCACTGAAAAAAATTGACTCGATCTTAATATATATTTTTTTTAGTATTAAGTAAACACATAGTAAATAAAACAGAAAAATGTATTCAATAAAAAATGAAGTTAAATCAAATTAATGGTTCTTGTCAAACAAATATATGTTTATATTTAGTAAATATTTACTTATTGTTAGAATTATTCAAACAAATATCAGCATGAGCGAGTTTCTAGATAAAAAGTTTGCGTGAAACTGTTATCATTGATGATAATGGCTGGAAAGTTAACCCACTCATCTCGTTTCTCGTTTGCAGATGCTTCGGCAGAAGAATTACCTCGCCCTAGGAGTGCTCAGCTGTGTCCTTCTGCTGTCGGCAACTACCGCGGACAACAGCGTGCACATACTGTCGAAGTACGGCCACCAGACGCTTACTTCCACCACACTCAAATGGCTACCGGTGGCGCACTATAATCCAAGCGATTCGAAGGAGATAATCATCGGTGGCATCGAGAACGTACCGGATAGTCAAGGTGCGACGATAATACTCCTGGATCGTCACAATGCGCGCAATGTGTCCGTGCAAAGCCGAGGCCAGACCGAACGAGTGCGAACAAACAGAAACGAGTAGCTTGTTTTTGATGAATGTCGCCGTGTTGACGTTCGCATTCACTGAAACAAACCATCGTTCATTCGCGTCTGTTCACGTTCGTTTCCTTGGCCTGAATGGATCCGACTTACGTGAACTATTAATTGTGCATACGTCAGAGTCGTCATGCTCGTTATACTTCATTCAGAAATCGAGACACTCAGGGACGTGCTAGATTTAAATACGTGTTTTGTGAGAACACAATTAGCGTCAAAGTCTAGACATTTCTTATCGTACGAAATGAAAACGTTAGACCCTAAAGCAAGCCACGATATTAGAAATCGGTTCGAGATCTCGGATGGAAAAAGAATTGACCCAATTGCATTGATCGTGTAATCGAATTGTCCAAATGTAATTGTTAATTTTTTCCTCTGTCCGAGATCTCGAATTGATTTTCAGCATCGATGGGCACGAGGCTTAAAAATTGGACTGTCTAATAATTAATGAGATTGATTGTCTCCACGCGGACTTATTGCAGACGAGAACTATGCTAATCAAGCGGAGGAAAGGAGACTGGTGCTCTACGTGTGCCGTGCAATGCATAGTGGCGTATGGGTAGCCGGTACGCAGAAGGAAAAGGAGAAGGTCTGTACAGTGACAATACATGGTGTTGTACAGTCGTACGAGAAGTACGAGCTGTTGGAGAACGTCGACGGGGCGGCGCGGATTTCGTGGACCCAATGGAACAAATACACTCCGTCTCCCGTGGGCGCGGTGTACGCCGATAAGACAATGCTGGTAGCTCGACACGAGGTCCCGAAAGATCTGGAGAAACCGCGGTATACTCATTATATCGGCACGCTCAACTCGCCCGAGAACTTCGGTAGTATCATTTATGTGAACGAGGTGAGTATCGAGATAGCGAGTTCTTTCGAATTTTCCCCGAATTGGTAAAAGAGAAAAGTGCATTGCCATCTTCCTGTTTTGATTCCGACTTGGCAAAACACAAATGTCAGTATCAGAAAACAAGATTCCAACAAGTTAAACTTTGGAAGCGCGAATAAACACAGAAAAACTTCTCGCCCAAAGCGATAAGGATTGATGAATAGGAATATCGCATTAAATTCAACTCATCGATTCTGAGAATTTTTTTCTTCTTTTCAAGAAGTAATTAAGTTCACGGCAGATATATGCGTCATGTTAATGATAGCGTAATTTATTTACGAAGTAATTGAGTTACCGACGAACAAATGAGACTCGGTTTTCTTCCTCAGAAAGGTGAGGAGGAGTCTGCAAAGTCAGGTGAGCTGCTGGTGGAGACTGAGCCAATCCGTTATGAGCTCAGCGCCGTTAAACTCAACTGGTCTAAGAGGCGCGATATTAAGCGCGTATCTCGCATACTCAACGAGGCGACGATCATCAACCGCGGAGCGGAACCGGCAAACTTGGCGGAAGCCTGCATATACAAGTACAAGTATTCGGTCTACTGGGGTCGCAGGCACGCCATCCTGAACGGCCTGAGCACCACGATCACGCTAATTAACGGCACGTCCTTACCGAACATAACGTGGGGTACGCGCGATGACGAGAATCGCACGGAGGCTTACAAGTAAGTATCGTTTTAAACTGTCATGAAGTTGAACGACAGGTATGTAAATTTAGAGCTTTTCTTTATGCGTATCCGGAGATAAAATGTTTCATTTATATTCTAAAAGATCGCAAGTCAAAGTCGCGTAGAACGAAGTTAAAGTGACAAGTTAACATTTAAATTTTGTTTTTGACGAAGCATTACGGAATTGCTAATTTAAATTAATCCTATCCTATACCTATCTCCCCTTCTAGTCACGCTTGCATAATGATTGCGAACATAATGATGATGAAGTGTGGAGCTTCTATCATCGCATTGCGGCGAATTAGCAGATCAAAGGAGGATAATCGTGAGGATTACGGCGCGAATTTACGACACAGAACGTTAAATAAGTCATAAATCGAACAAGCATATGATTTGCAGCGATTCAACTTGTAATCTCATCTCATATCTCTATAATTAGATATAATTAGAGATCAGATTTATTCCGTAATATAATTCTCTCTCTCTCTCTCGCTCATTTTCTCTGGTTAGCCCCCCGGGACACTTCATCGCTTCCTGTGCATCATTGAAGCTCGCGCGCGGCGGAGATGAGCTTGGAGTGCACTTTGCACGACAACTTCGTACCACCCTTCCCGTTCAGTGTGCCCTAGAATACTCCGTCGTGTTATCAGTTTAAGTGATGCTTCAACGCAACACAATTACGATCATGCATCGGACCCGCGTTCCAGTTGCAGTAGTCCAGTGTTAACTACATTAATACATTCAGTTTTCGAGGTCCTTGGTAATCCTAGACGTGTCCTTACATAAATTACAAATATATATCTCTCCTGAATAATGATAAATTAAAATAAATTGCCAATTAAATTTTTGTATAGGTATGAAATAACGCGACTCATCATTTTTGTTGTTAAGAGAAGATACACATATGATTTATATTATAGAGACCGATTTCTAGATCGAGTCAACGAGCTTGATGACATATCTTCTTGCGTGTCTTTTACAGCTTGCTGGTCTACCTGCAGCCTGGTACGGGCGTAAACGTAACTTTGAAGGCGAACTATACGGACATGGAGGTACCGTACACCGCAACGTTAATTTCGTATTACGACGATGGTGCGACAACATCGCGCATAATCATCGGCACTCGGCAGGAGGAAACAATGTTTGACATCACGCCGGAATTCGGGCCCGTCTATTTCCTGAGCAATTTCAGTTTGGTACCAACTACCGTACCGCCGCCTACTACAACCACCGAGCCACCGACCACGACAACATTGATGACAACGACGACAATGCCGACAACAATGAAGGAGACGAGCCGGACGACGCACCGACATCAGACGGATAACTCGGATATGATAGACGATGAGAATCTAATCACACCGCCGAAGAAGACAGACGTATCGACGGGCATGCATAATAACAACAATGGTCCGCTGTTGCTGAAGGTGGAGGTGCAGTATGGCGGTGCCACGTCCGTTGCGTTCCAGTCGAGCTTATTGACGCTCATCGTACCGCTTCTACTGCTGCTGATCCTCCACAAAATTACGTGAAGGCCCGATTACGCGTTCGCCATCGCCGCCTCTAAACGTTAATTCCTAATTCCCGCAATAGTAATATAATAATATAACCCAGTAGACGACACAATCCCGAAAACGGAAAAAGGATTAAAAAAGAAAAAAAAAGAATTACACAGGAAAAAAAGAACAAAAAAAATACATATACGCGAAAAGAAAAATTGCTGTAATTTCGTATGTAGCGATTATCGCGTGAATGACCTCTTTTTATTTAAACACTCGTACATACATGCACCGTTGGATTGCGGTGCTGGTACATGCTTGCCTTTAAAAAAAACTCGATATTTAATATATATATATCTATATTATTATACACACAAACAAGACACATACACACAAATGCGCTTAGAGTAACAGAAAAGAGGACGAGAAAAAGTATCTTCGCGATTGAACAATGGAGCTAGTCTCACGACAATGAGTTAAGTACAAGAACGAGATCGCAGCGACTGATGTGCAGGTAGATTAACCTAGCCGCGAAACGTTCACCCGTTATATTGTTGAACCGACCGTGTAACATTCCGTCTTTTTCTAATCCTGCTGTGAATCGACTTTCCAGCTACAATGTATGTCTTATGCCTTCGCAAAAGCGCAATTCTATAATAGATCCTCTAGAAGAACTAATCGCTTTAAAGGACGACATTCTTTTTTTAGAGAGTTGAGAAAAAGAACTATAAATGCCGCGAATAACGTATTGAATAGTAGCGTATATACGTATTGAGTCGGGAGGCAAATAGAAGTCAAGCAATGGAGGAAAAGAGCAAGATATGCGAATTAATTCTGCTACGATATATTTTTGAGAGATTGTCGTATAATTTTAGAAAATTGTAAAATTTATAAGGATAGTAAGTAAGAGAGAAAACCATATAAAGTGTAGGAGTTAAATGGGTACATTCTTTTCTGTGGGATACTTTTAATTTGATTAAGTTCCAAAGTTATTACAGCGAAATGACAAACGTACGATCTAATCGCTTAATGTTTAATTATATATTACGATAACGTTAAGTGATAATTTACGAACGTGTTGAGAAGAAAATTTGCTGATGCAGTATTTTTTTTTTTTTTAAGTTTTAAACAATTTGTATGTACCCATCTGTTGCTAGTACGTAAAGTGATAGGACTTGCAGGTTTCTTAGAGTACTGTTGAAGAAGATTGTATAACGATGGAGGAACCATTGGTATATATAATATAAATATTTAAATAATTATTAATAAAGAAGAGGATAGAATATTTTGGTACGCATGAGAAATATAAAATTATTGATTTCAACGTTTTGTGGAAGCATTTTTTTTTTGTTTACTCGAAAGACTAAGACGACGGTCATTTTTCATACGAGGTTGCGTTGTCAGCGTTTTTACCGAAAAAGTATCCACATGTATGTATATAATATGTATTTCTATGATCTTGATAGTTGTAATATTATGTAGTAAGCTTATTTATATATGATTTATAGATATTTTCTCTATCGGATAGTAGCGTCACACACAAGTACAATTCTTCTATTATTAACCGACGAATACCGTAGGATTAGCACGAAACCGTTTATGTCGGGCTAAAGTGTCTCTGACGACGTTTATTAACGTAAGCCTAATCACGCCTGTTGTGATATTGAATGAAAATCTTACGTAAATACGAAAAAGTAGAAGGAAAAAGAAAGCATTATTTTGAACGACTCGTTGTTTGTGAGAGAAAGCAATAATACGTTGCGAGATCGAAAGACCTATGAGGAAAGATGAGAAAGGCGACGATAGAAGAAAAACGCAAATAAAATTTGTGGTATCTATGATATTTCTTCGATATTCTTAGTAAATTGACGAAACGTAATTAATGAGAGGGCGGCGCGATTTTAGCGTAGAGTTCGAAGAAAGAAGCTGTATGTTCGTACAACCCAAGATCACAAATTAACTTCTTGACAATTCACTCTATATGTCGGTAGACAAACGTAAATAAATCCTTAAAAAAAAAAAAAAACTAATCAACCTCGGCAAAAAGCCAAGAATTGTTCTAAAAATATCTATATTCTCAACACTCAGATGTATTATTTGTGAATAATGCTGCTGTATTGTACATTATCATGTAAATATAAATGCTATGTACATATAACGAGTTCTTAGCAATCCATATTTTTCCCAGAATCTCCAATAAATAGAGTATACAATCAAGAGAGGCAGGAAACTATTTGTATTTTGATTTAGAAAAATCAAGATTATTTCCCATGAGAAATTTATCAATTCTAAAAGATGATGAAAACACAATATGGTTGGAAAAATTTGCTAAAATTTTTATTTTTAAAAAATCAAGAAGTATATGAAGATATTTTCAAATATAAATCAAATGTAGAATATAGCTTTGCAATAAACATGATGCCAGGATTATACATTTCAGCTATTTTCTTTAAGTATGCATATCTGAATTATTAACAATAAATTACATCAAAAACTTACCAAGAACACCATATTGTTGCGGAGTAAGTTTTTCATTATTGTCTGGACCACCTGGCACAGAAGAGATGAGTGATGCACGATCGCTAATATGACTTCTAGTACTGGCTTCACTTCTTCTTGCCCAAGATGCTTGTGATAATACATCTACACGTTCCATATAACATAAAAAAGATACTTTGCTTCATTATATAATCATTAATAGATTTAAATGTATAGTTTTACATTGCGTTAAACTTTATAATTAAATTTGTTTATGTAACATGACAGCACATAACAATATTACCAAAATTAGCATTCTTGATATTTCCTAATCTTGTTTTGTAGTCTCTGTAGTGCCTTCTGGAAGGTGGAATAGGATGTCTTCGTCGTCTCTTCAAAAATTGTGCCAGTCCTCCCAGTAATATTGAACCACTAGTGAAGCAAATAATAAAAATCTGAAAGAAACACATACAACTAAAATAGACCCGTGCTTGTTTTAACAAATTTAAATTTTAATAACAAAATCCCCATGCAATTGTTATTCCTGCCCTTGTAACTTTTTTACATTATTATGTAATGTTCAAGTGCAAATAGTGAAAGTATTTACTCTAACCTTGAGAAGTCGCCGATTTTGCTCTTACCTTTTGTGTGCGAGATAAGTGTATTGCTGGTAATGAGAACATATAACGTTGATATAACGTGCCGAAGAATTGCCGCACGTTGAAAAGAGACATTGTCATTCACTTTATTGTTATAAACAACATTAACCACAATTCACGCGTGCTGCCGAATGCTCATCGCGCGAAAACTGCCATCTGCCGAACGTTATCACGGGTTCGTAATCATTCGCAGTCGGTTCCAAAACCTAACTGATAAAACAGACTTCACGCGGTAAATGTATATCCCAGAGAACAATATGTAAGAATAAAATATTATAATAATTAATAAGCGTTAAGGTGATGCTGGAGTGTCCTGTTTTATCATTACTTAATAGTTAAAGACTCGTTTCTCTTAATTGCATTTACGGATGGAAAAATCCTTCTGCATAATTAAAGTGTAATCGACAAAAACGGAGGGTACGTGCTAGCTACATTTTAATACGAAAAATGGAAAAAAAATTTACAGTTTTGTCATCAGCTTATCACATAAATGTGTCGAGTCGACTGCAGAAGCCAATAACGAAACTGTAAGTTTTTAATTTTCTTCCGTTTTTCGCATTGAAATGTAGCTAGCACCCTCCTTTTTTGTCGATACTTTAATTATGCAGAAGGATTTTTTCATCCGTAAATGCAATTAATTAAGAGAAACGTTAACTAAGTATAAATGATAAAACAAAACACTCCAGCATCCCCTTAAAAAATATAAAGAGAAATAGAATTATGCTGGTATAAAAATAATGAATATTCTATATCATAAGTTATCCTTCAGCTCCTCATTGTTTATTATCATTAATTTATACATTCCCCAGATAACATTTATGTTGCATAAGATATATCTAAAAGACGTCTTTTAGTAGTCTTATGTCTAAAACATGTCTAAAAGACGTCTATTAGATATCTTATGCAACATCCCTCATAAAAAAGTATTACTAGTGTCACTGCTAGTGCTGTAGTATCACTACTGTAAATACAGTAGTGTCACTGTTGGTACGAGTAGTAATCAGTAGTAACACTGCTCGTGACTAGTAGTATAGAAGTGCAGTATTAAATTTACTACTAGTGGCACTAATAGTATCACTACTGGGAGTAGTGCAATTTACAGTAATCGCATTCCCGCACTTGCGGAAATTATTTTAATACAAATTTGAATTAAAAAATCGGTTTTAATCAATTATTTTAATCATTTCGTATTTTTAATCAAAATTTTTTTATATATTATTTATTTTTTGCGAATTTACTTCTGCATATTGCACTAATAGTAACACTAGTAGTACTTTTTTACGAGGGATAAATGTTATCTGGGTCGTTTTCAATGTAGGCTAACTATCAATTAACTAACCTTTCATCTTTTCTTAATTCTTAAAAAATAAAAAAATAATAAAGAGTAGAAGCTGAACTGATATTAAAGTTAATTGATAGAAACGGATACTAATATAAAATAATTTAAAAGAATAATAAATGGAATAATTATATTTGAAATAATATGATTACACATATGTACATTATTACATTCGATTAAGGCTGTGGTCCACTTAGCGCATCAAACGCTACAGAGCATTTGCATATGTGAAACAGAATGCACCAACATACTTACACAACATGATAGAAATTCGAACCTATTGAATAATTTGTACACAAAATTACATTGACGGATAAGAAAAGACGTTTTCTCGTAAGTCATTACACATATTTTATTCCATCTCAATATAGTAATATACGCACAACATAAAATAAAATAGCATACTCGCACGACATGCGTTGACTGGCACAATTATCGAATTGCTATAGAGCGCTGAGAATAATGTAAATCAAAATTCTACCGAAAAATAATCTGATAAATTCATCTAAAAAGGATTATACAAATTTTTATGATATATTAAAATGTAATCTTATAATATACATATAATATATTCTATAATCAAATGTTCGATTGTAAAATTTTGAGATCGTTATATAACAATAAAAATGTTACATAGTTTAATCTTTTCTATTCATTACGGGTCAAATTGAACCGAGCATAATGTAATTCAAAAATATAATCGTAAACCATAAATTAAAGACTTATAAAAACTTAAAAGTTTATAATTTTAAGTAAAAAACGTTAATTCATAACAATTTTTTCAGGATTAAAGATATATAATTTTTTCACTACAATAACGTTATTTTTGATGAATAAAATAATGAATAAACTGTAATTTTTTAAAGTGTCAGCATGAAGGGTTAACCATTTAATTATACACATATTGATATTAAACAATAATCAAAACATTTATGTTTATGCATTAGAGACAATAGCGAAAGTCTGGATCACATACCTGAAGCATAATTATCAATAAATCCAAAGCTGCAATGTGTATCTAAAACAAGTATGCTTCTATTATACTCGATGAAAATGTTTGTGTTTAATCGAAAACAATTCACATAAAAGAATGATCCTGACAGCACAGAATATTTATATAATTAGTATTGTATTCATAGCTATTTACAGTTACACATTCTTTAGAGTAAGATATAAAAATGTTGTACATATTTTAAATAAGCTTAATTTGAAAACGTTATAATGCAAATTAAATGTATATAATAATGTTCATGTTAAAATAGATAAATATTTTTAATAAATATTTTTTAAACTAAATACCGAGAATAAGCCATTTACAGTCAAATTGGATCTTGAATGCTTCTAATATAATTTTTGTGTGAATTTATGTACTACGTATGTAGTTCTCTAAATTTTTTCAGTTTTATAACGCAAACTAATAAACTACCGCAGTACTATCATGAGTTCGATTGACTAACGATCTAGCAATTTTGATGCTCATTGCATCTTGGATCTTAATAACATGTTGAAT